ATCCCAGGCCAGGTTGGACGGGGCTCTGAGCACCCTGCTCTGGTTAAAGCTGTCCCTGGCACTGCAGGGGTTGGGCTGGGGGAGCTCTAAAGGTCCCTTCCCACCCAAAGCATTCTGTGATTCTATGATTCTACGATTCCTGAGCTGCAGCACCTACAGCCCTGCCTCTGAGAAAGGTGCCCAGCACGGATTTGGAGGCCGTGCCATGGAGCGTCCACCACTTTCCTTGAAACTCGTTCCAGATTAATCAACTTCACAGCAAGTAAGCTGGTAACATCAATGAGAGAAGCACCAGCTCCCTCCAAGGCCACGTCTACTGGGGTTATTTCTTTCTTTTGAGAGTACAGCTAACCCACGGAGACCATCCTGGCCCCAGTGGTTGCCAGAAGAGCTGTTCCTACCACCAGGAGCTGGGCAATCAATTGAAAAAGAGCTCCTCCCTGGTTTTCCTGCTTCCTTTATCCCTGTTTGGGCTTTATCCCTGTTTGTCCGGCCTTTCCACTGGCTACCAATGGTAGGAGGAGAGCAGGACCACGCAATACTGTACGGAAAGAGGAGCCAGAGAGCTAAGACACTCAGGATCATAAACCAGATTATCAATTAGTGCTACCCCGCTGTTAACAGAGCTCTTTTCCACCAGATTCTGTCACCAACAAGTATACGGCGGCTCTGGAACATCACCAAGGTGGCTGTCACCGCCCAAAGCGTCTGCCAGCGCTTGTACAAGTCCTTGTAGCATCTCACCTGCTGAAGAGTATGAATTCAGCACCCAGCGCTTCTCAAATGATAATTAACTTGTCACCAGGACATCTTGGGTGGAAAGAAATCAGCTATTTTAGTGCCGCCGTCGCCACGTAAAAAGCCCAGCTCCCCCCAGGGCTCCTGCTCAGCCCTCCTGCTACCGCGGGCTGCGTTCTGCAAGCGAGGAAACAGAGGCAGGGGCTCCCCAAGAAACCCACGGCCACAGGAGGAGGCAAGAGAGGGATTTGGGGGATCCTAGCTCACCAGCTGCCTACGCTGCAGGGCAGAGGAGCTCGCTGGCACCCTGACCACCCTTCCAAAGCGCGCTCTCGTGGCAAGTTCCCTTCTTCCCACGTGCTGGAAGGAAAACCAGGGTGTAACACTGCCACAAGCTGCGCTGACCGCGCCGTACGCCACAGAGGCGCCGAGCGTACCTGGGCTCGGAGCTGGTGCTACCCGGCTGCGCTGGCTGGTGTGCCAAGTCCAGCCTAACGTACCCTGCCAGCCTTCCTCCTTCACCTGGCCTTGACGCCATGGTAGCAATACCATCAAATCCCCACTCGAGTGCCCAAAATCAACTGGGTTCTACCCACAGGTAACATCCAACAGGTCCCAATACAACCGAGCCACTTACCATAGGCAAAAATCAGGTCCATCAGGGTGTTGAGGCTGAGCTCAGAGTGCTTCTGGATCAGGTGGTAGGACAAGGCTCGGAGCAGAGGCACGCAGCGCCGGTTCTGGTAGGCTAAAGCCAGCGTTATTTTACGGATATCATCGGGGTTGAACTGTTCAGCGAGTTCCAGAGCCTGCCGAGAAATGTTTTGAGGGATGTAAAAAGAAAGCACAAAGCGACGTGCAGGAGATAGGAACCGGCAAGCGTTTAGCGTTCAGCACACAGCGAGGCTCAGCGGCTGGGAACGAGCGTAATGGCTCGTGCAGAGGGAGGGCGAGGGGAAGCGGAGCTTCATCCTCTCAGCAGAGCTCAGCCAGGATCTCCCCGCTCCTGGTTCTGCCTCTCCCAGCCGGCAGGATCTCAGCGTCCGCTCCTGGTGCGCATCCAGGCACGGTAACACGCCGTCGGGCAAAGACCGACAGAGGAAAGGCACCTGCTGCTGGATCGGCACCCAGCTTTCCACTGTAATTTCTGCTCTGTCTGCAGGACGCAAACCCAACATCATTAAGTTTGGGCTCTGCATAAGCTGACAACCTCGTCAGACCCAGCTACAGCGTTCTGCCTCGTCACACGCCGGTGTCTGTAGCGTTTATTTATCCCCAGGGTTGAGCGAGAGGCACAATGGGGCTCAGGAGCTACAGCTGTTGCTGTGGCAGCTGTTTGGCCAGTCCTCAGCACGGGCTGGACGAGGACTGAATTTGACACAGCTGCAGTCAAGGGCTCCTGCAGTGGTTCCGACCCGAAGGACGTTTCCTTGCTCCCGCAAGCGACAGAAACAGGGACACACCGAGCACCAGAGGGGACAGCCCTGCCCCCTTTGAAGGTGACGGGTGCCTAGAGGCAAGGACGGTACGGACACTCCTTGTTCTGGCTCCCCTCATAGCCCGGCTCGTACAGAGAAGCAAAGGACGACGTTTTTGGCAGCTGTGTTACGCTGGCTCTGTAAGTTACCTCTTGCCAGCCGAGCTAAGGAAATTTGAGCGTGTTCTCTGTGAACCTGCCGCAGCCGTAAAGTAAAATTCACCAGCTCAGCCCACCTCCCAGCAGCGCAGACCAGTGCGAGTCACCTCCTCGCACCAGTACAGATTGGGAAGGGGCTGGTGAGTGCCAGCCCCCCGTCTACGTGGCTCCTCAGATGGAAACCCCTCTTAGAAGCGCCCATGCGCGGGAAGCTGCTGAAACAACAACCCAAAAGCACACACCAAAGAACTCTGGCGCAGCACCAAGCGCAGCCTGGGCAGAATTAGCAGGATGGGACCATGTAGGGTGGGTTAAAGGGGACGGGGCTCTCCTTTCTGCCGTTGTCACCTGCGGGAGGTGGCCCGTCGGAAGGGAACGGAGGGGAAGGGAGAGCCGGGAGGAGACAACAAAAGCCCCTACCTTGTCCTCCAGCCGGTCCATCAGAGCCGGGGAGACATGCCCGACCTTGCTCATCAGCGTGACCACGGTTCGGGTGCCCTCGAGCTCTGTCCAACGCAGCTCCAGCTTCTTGATGACTTCGTTCAGCAGCTTGCTCTCCTTCTGCTGCTTGACGGCCAAGAACTCTGCCAGGGAGGCGAGCTGCCTGAAGGTGAGGCGCCGCAGCCGCCACAGCACCTCCTGCTCCACCGACTGCATCTCCTTCCTGTTGCTGTCCACCCCCAGGGAGCAGAGGCTCTTCAGGAGGTTCACCAAGGTGTTATTCCACACTTGAGAAATCTGGGCAGCGGGGAGAAATAAGGGAAAAGTGTTGATGAGGGACAGCACGAGAATATTCATTTGCCAGTCACGCCAAACACCAGGCAACGCTCTGCCTCTACAGAAAGAGCTGCACAGCGTTGAGGCAGGAGTCCTCCTCCGCCCGAGGACATCCAGTTGTCCCCCACCACAGCGCGAGACCTCTGCTCCTCCTCACAGGTGCAACCTGCGCAGTCAGAGGCAGACCGGAGTGACCCAGAGCTCTGGGGAGGAAGAGGAACCTCAACGACTGTACCACAAGCCAGAGCCACGCACCAATCCCAGCGGCACGGACAGAATCATAGAATCGTTGAATTCTTTAGGTTGGAAAAGACCTTTAAGATCATCCAGCCCAACCATTCACCTAACACTGCCAAGGCCACCACTAAACCAGTTAAGGGCAGAGTCATAATTTCATTTTTCCTGGCTTGGGGGATGGATTATTTTTAATGAAAGTAAAACTAGGAATCACTAAGGTTGGAAAGGCCCTCGAAGATCATCAGCCCAACCATCAACCCAACACCCCCATGCCCACTAAACCATGGCCCCAAGTGCCACCTCTGCCCGTTTTTTGAACCCCTCCAGGGATGGGGACTCCCCCACCTCTCTGGGCAGCCTGTTCCAGTGCTTGGCCCCTCTTTCCGTGAAGGAATTTCTCCCAATATCCAATCTAAACCTCCCCTCATGCAACTTGAGGCCATTTCCTCTCGTCCTGTCAATGGATGAGCCTTGAGAAGTAACCACACATCGCTTACAGAGCTGCCATATGGGTGGTGAACTCTCTCTTGCCTCAGAGAAGGAAGCCACACAAATTTTCTGCTGGCTGGGTGAAATATTTAAGTAGACTTTATCTTTCTCTGGAGGCACTTAAGCTTCTCTGTGGTGTGGCTGGGATATGACACAGGTGGCTGGTAAAACGAAAAGCGGTGGGAAAGGCTGATAATTCAGGGGCAGAAACTTGAGGGTCTGCGGGGGGAACGCCACGGGACTCCGACTCACCTCAGATCAGTTAAAACTTATCCTAAAAGCTCCAATTTCTCTCCAGCATCTCCAAAAGGAGGCTGGGCATGAATCCCACCGGCTGCCGGGAACAACAGGACCTGCCCAGCCCCACACTCTGCCCACCGAACTTCTCTGCCTGGCCACCGCCAGCTGCTTCCCCACTGGCAGCCCCGACGCGAGGCGGAGCTCATGGTTTTCCACCAGCAATCAGTCTTCCAGCTTTCACCTCCTTCAGTGAACGCCAGGCACCTCTTTATTTCCAGCCCAAGCTTCCCCGGCTGTGCTCTGCTGCTGCTGTGCAGCACGAAAAGGCAGTTCCAGTCTGAAAGCTCCCCCGATTTGTATAAAACCAAACCCGACCCTCAGCACAACGTCGGTTCCGATGGGCCCTTCAGAAAGCATCGCTGCGCCAGCCACCCTGGTGCAGAGCACAACGCCTTGCTTGACAGAATGTCCCAACATTAAAAAATGATTTCAGAAACAAGGAGCTGCTTCTCAGAGCGACCGTGCAGGAGGCAAGCAAGGCAGCACTGCGAGATGCTGAATTTCAGGCAGGACGGACCACGTGGGTTTGGGCAAACAAAGGCTTTAACTCTCCGGCTTGTCCAAACTCCAGCGCTTCCACCAGCACAGCAAATTCCTAAAGCGCCACTCAGGCACGGTTCGGCACCTCAGGCACAAGAATGACCTGAGCACTGCCAGGGTGCTCTGCTAAAACGTGAAAAAGCACAGTGCAGGATGGGGCTGAGAAAGCCAGCAGAGCTTGTGATTTGCCCCGGGTTACTCAGAAGGTCACAAGGAGAACCAGCTTGCTCCCCTGGCTCATCCCTCGCCTTTTCCACCCACTCACGCGTACAAAACTCATCTCACAGCCTGCAAAGAGCCCTTTCCCTCAACGCTGTCCTGGCCCACGCCTCACTTACTGTTCAAAATCTCTGGCTCCTCGACACAAGGACACTGCAAGCCGATGAATTTTAGTTTCTTTGCATCAGAGCGTCTTTGCATCTACACAACAACCTCCTACATTCAGTTATCTACGACTGCTGCTGCGATATCAGCTCGTTGGAGAAGGGTAATTGTGTTTGCAGCGAGTTTGCTTGCTTTAAGTCTCAAAATCCCTAGCCATGCCCCTCTGGGCAGTTTCCTACACTTAGGTCAGGCTGCCTCGCTTCTCATAGCGCCCACCCAGCACATCGGCTTGGCTTTGCCAGCTCCAGGGCATCCCTTTCCCTCTGAGGGGTCCCCAGGGACACGGGCACCCCTTTTATTCACGGTGACAGCAACACGGGACCACGTACATGATCAGGAGTGGTACTTTCACTCCAAATACAGCGGAAGGGAAACACTTCAGCTCAATGGAACTAACTGGGCACTCTCAGGACAAATCCCACCTCTCTGCTATCCTTAGACAGGTTTTAGGGAGAAGAGATTATGGATGAGGAGAAATACGAAGCGTCTGCAGAAGGCTGGTACCCCCAGAGCCCTGCCAGAAACCTCAACCAGTTCAACAAGGCAAGTTCACAGGTCACAGAATCATGGAATCGTTTAGGTTGGAAAAGACCTTTAAGATCATCCAGTCCACCCATTCACCTAAAACTGCCAAGTCCACCACTAAACCAATTAAGGGGAGAGGAATAAATAATTTCATGTTTCCTGACTTGGGGGATGGATTGTTTTTTAACGAAAGTAAAACTAGGAATCACTAAGGTTGGAA